AATATTACAGTGCTTATGTAACCATGTCTCTGTGAAGCAGATGACATGTATATTAAATTTCCTAAGGAACAATTCAATTTCGGGTTCTTTGCCGCCTAAGCCTTGTATATTTTGATGCACAATATTTAATTTAAGTGGCCTAGGCGTTGTCTCAATGTTTAGTTTAAACTAACATTGTTTGCTGAAAGATTATTACATAATAAAATATTCTTAGTTGTACTATTTACAACTGGGTTTTGTATATTATATGCTACTAGAGTAGCAATTAGTTTTCTTATAATATAGTGGCCAATACAAAGTATTTTTTGTCACCTTAAAACTAGATTTAATAAAATTATTTAAGTCAAAATAAAAGAAAGCGTCACTATGACGGTGAGTTATGTTATATATAGTCATGTTAAGACTATATATGTATTTATTTTGTTCCTCTGAAAGGAAAGAGGAATATGGAAATGAGCATATATAAATTTGCACTTAGTTTTATAATGTAGGTTGAGTAATTTTCCATATTATTAACAATTTCCTGTTTCCTTACAGATGAACTATCCCAATGAAGTAGTACAATAGTACTATTCTCATTTAAATTTAATGTCAATAATTTGTTAATATTGTTATGAAAACTGGCACCTGGTGAACATATATTATATACATTATTTACATGTTTGGAAAGTAAAGAACCAATAATATAAGTTAATGCGGAGTGATCACCAGACCAGAAAGGTTGCTAGCGGGAAAAAGTGTCTCCTCAACGATATAATGAAACGCGGAATGATAAATGTAAATAGCCCTCTTCGAGCTACTCCGCTATAAGGCTGTGAAATGAAAAAATAATATGCGTATACTTATGTACGCACGTAAGAGTTATACTTCCTTAGCACACAAAAGAAAAATAACTATAAATTTCATCCCTTGTGCCAGCACTTCTTTGTTTGTGAAAAAGATATTAAGTTATTAAGATATTAAGTTGGTTGCAAACCAAACCAACTTGGTCATGTCGCTTTTCGGGGGTCGGTGACGCGCGCATCTTAAAAATTTTACTCGCAAAACTTTTTTCGAAACGCGCCAAAAAAAGTATAACTTCAAAACTATGTGTCCATTAATAGAATAGTTACGTGGCGTGGGCCACGCAGCACAAGGTGGTAGGGCCACGAAGCAGCCTCGGCTATTGCACCAATGGGCAGGCTCGTCCAGGTAAGTACCTGGCCACACAGAAGACTGGCGTAAAATGGAAGTATAATACTTTCGCGTTTCGTCTGGTGAGTGAGGTGGCCGGAGCCCAATTTTCAAAAAGGTTGTCAACGAATCTGGAACCCTCGGGTGTATCTCGATCGAGGGTCGATCTCCATGGGTTGCGGTATTCACTTAACATCACGTGAAACGTCTGCTCGCTTGGCAACTTTTCACGTAAAAGAAACGTTAAAAAAAGAATAGAATCGATCAATAACAGAGGCTGCTCAGTGACTCCACCGCACACACTGACAACTTGGCCATTACGTGACCACCATATCTATCGCATTCGGCCGTAGACGAGCGGGGGCCAATCGAAACCGACTCCTTCGCCCCTATACACGCGGACGCTCCGCCCTTCGTGGAGATGTCCGTGGAGCAGGAGATCCTGGCGACCGGCATCAAGGTGGTTGACTTGCTGGCGCCCTACGTCAGAGGTAAAGAGTAAAGTAACAGCCCATACATATCCCACTGTTAGGCAAAGGCGCGGCTCCGCTGCGTATTGGCGAACTTCACATATCTTCGAAATGTTTTTTTTTATTATTTCGAAAATATGCAGGTTTCCTCGCGATGTTTTCCTTCACCGTTGAGCGCGTGATAAAGTCAGCACTTAAAGTTAACACTGGCACCGGGGATCAAACTCATGATGCTCGAGTATATTGAATTGAAGGCGAGCGCCCGGACGCTGAGCTATCACGGCTCTTGAACGTCAGAGGTATGTATGACGATTACAGGGTCTTTCGAGGGAACTGTTGGGAGCTCACAAAATCTCAATCATCACCAGCATCGTCATTTCGACCTTGAACTGAACTAGGTGCCGTTTATAACGCTAGTTTCTTCGGCCTTCATCGTCATTTCAGCCTGTTTAGTCCACTGTTGAACACAGCCCTACCCCATAGACTGCCACGAAGCACGTTCCTGTGCCACCTGCATCCATCGACATCCCGCACGCTTGCACAAGTCGCCACTTCATCTCCACAAAATCTCGTTGTCTTTGCCCTTATTAAAAATTTAAATATCTTTATTAACCTTGACAGCGCTACTTGTTTATCGATACTTTCCGTTACCGCGGAACGAGATGTATTAAGCCTCGTACTAACACTATCAGAATACCTGTGAGGGGATCACTTAACCACATAGAGTTTCAGAAATTTAAACCGTGTTTGTGTCCAAACGCGGTACTAGGTCTCAAAAACCCCGCACTGAGTTGAGTATAACAAAACACACTGGTTGAATAGAACAGTTCAGATATATATTTATCTCTTTCAATCGTTACATAGAATTGAAATAACGCCCTTTGCACCACAGAGAAGACTCTATTTTTCCTACGCGCACTACAATTCACACTATTAAGTGAGAGGTGTTTTTAGATCTAATGCCGTAGTTAACATGTTAAGTATTGCACGTACAATTGAGTCGTGACAGCTCATTGTCCGGTCGCCTTTAAGCCTTACTAATATTATAAACGTAAAAGTTTGTATGTATGGGTATGTTTGTTACTCTTTCACGCAAAAACTACGGAATGGATTTTAATGAAATTTTACAAACATGTAGCTTATACATCAGAATAACACATAGGCTATAATTTATAAAGATATTGTGTGAATTTTCCAAAATATAACGTTTATATAACCTGCCATCTACTTTTCACGATGACAAGGGTTGACTGGTAGAGAATGCCATTAGGCATTCAGTCCGCCCATTGTAGCCCTTAGCTTAAGGTGGAGCAATGAATCTTAAATAAATAAATAAATAAATAAGTGTCAAGAAAGTAGTATAAAACTCTGCCATCTGCGAGCTATTCTGGTTTATAATAAAAAAGTCATAGCTAATTTCGTCTGAACGCGCGGGCGAGCCGCGGTTAGCTAGAACCGCCGCGTGGGTCTATAACAGTGCAATTTTATTCCCAATAGGTGGCAAGATCGGCCTCTTTGGAGGGGCCGGTGTCGGGAAGACTGTGCTCATCATGGAACTTATCAACAACGTTGCGAAGGCGCACGGAGGCTTCTCGGTTTGTTTTTTTAATTTATTACAAGGCCACAGAAGTTAACGTCGAATGATATTCGTGTTTGCATTATTACAATTCTACATCATTTCGACGACCCGAATGGCGTAGTGGGCGTTGCACCCTACTCTTGCTCCAGGGGGTGTGGGTTCAATCCCCACCGCTGGAAAAATATTGTGTGATGAACATGGTGCTCTTCCGGTGTCTTAGTGTTTGTATATTTATAATGTGTATTTATTTACAAAAGTGTGTAAAAAGTTACAAATGTGGTGTAAAAATGTGTTCTAAACATTTATTTATGCTATATTTTGATCAGGTTTTTTTTTTTAGTAAGTGTTAAGTAAATACCGCCGCCCATGGACATCTGCTACTCCAGATGCGTTGACAACTTTTTAAAAAATTGGGCTCCGGCCACCTCACTGACCAGACGAAACGCGAAAGTATTATACTTCCACTTTACGCGGGTCTTCTATGAGGTCGTGGTACTTACCCGGACGAGCCTGCCCATTCGTGCCACAACAGCCGAGGCTGCTGCGTAGCCCTGCCACCGTGAAACTTAAGGACACCGTATTGTGAGGAGAAATAAAATACATTATTAATCACTTGGCTAAATTGTTTACTTTAGCTGTACCAACGATTATATTGTATTCGAATATCATGTATTGTGAGGAGAACAATATAATATTACTAGCTGCTGCCCGCGACTACGTCTGCGTAGAATATGCTGAAGGCGTAACATTCAGACGGAAAGACGGATATACATAAAATATGTATATAAATATATATGTATATAAATAATATCTATGTGTTATTCTGGTGTATAAGCTATATTATTGTAAAGTTCCATTAAATTCCGTTCAGTAGTATTTGCGTGAAAGAGTAACAAACATCCATACATACATACAAACTTTGGCTTTTATAATATTAGTAAGGATTATTATCCAGGTGTTCGCCGGCGTTGGTGAGCGGACCCGTGAGGGTAACGACCTCTACAACGAGATGAAAGTGGGCGGCGTCATCACCGACGACTACAAGACGTCCAAGGTTTCGGATTCTGGGTTACTCAGACGGCTTTTGGTGAATGCGGTGTAACAGCTAGACGAGGTAGCGAAACAGAACGAAAGAGATCGGCTCGTAGCCATTGTCTTTTTAGGGTTCCGTACCCAAAGGGTAAAAGCCCTATTAATAAGATTGCGCTGTCTTTCTGTTTGTCTCGACTAGTCAGTGGTGTTTTTGAGGGTTCCGTACCCAAAGGGTGAATAAATAAGGTCCCTTATTACTAAGTCTCCGCTGTCTCTCTGTCCGTCTGTCGCCAATCTGTATCTCATGAACCGTGATCGTTAGACACTTGAAATTTGGAGAGAAATAAAGAAACATTCTAATTACAATATAGAAGATGGTTGGGGTTTATCATCAGCTTGGGATGCCATAATATATAAAATTAAAGGGTTCGTTCGACATTGCTGCTCTAGTACGTAATACCAACAAAGGTATTAAGGCGTTGGTGTATAGGGGTGCGCACAGATTTCGCTCTCTTTGCTGCTATAGTACGCATTACCAACAGTGGTATCAGGTGGCGCTGGTGTACGGGGTGCGACCAGACTTCGTTGGTCTTTGGTTCTATATTACGTAATACCAACGCTGGTGTCAGGTGGCGCTGGTGTACGGTCAGATGAACGAGCCGCCCGGCGCCAGGGCTCGCGTCGCCCTCACCGGGCTCACGGTGGCGGAGCACTTCCGCGACAAGGAGGGCCAGGACGTGCTGCTGTTCATCGACAACATATTCCGATTCACGCAGGCTGGCTCTGAGGTGGACGGCGAAAGAGATAGATTTGTAGAATCATGGCATATCGAAGGAGATAGATAGATAGTCTTTATTTGTAAGATTATGGTATATCGAAGGAGATAGATAGATAGTCTGTATTTGTAAACGTAGTCTATGTTTGGTATATCAAAGAAGATAGATGGATAGTCTTTATTTGTAAAACTATGGTATATCGAAGAAGATAGATAGATAGTCCGAATTGGTTAGAAGGAGATGGATAGATAGCGTTTATTTGTAAGATTATGGTATATCGAAGGAGATAGATAGATAGTCTTTATTTGTTAAACTATGGTATATCGAAGGAGATAGATGGATAGATAGTTTTTCATTGTTAAATCGTGGTATACATTTTTCTATGTCCAAATTTGGTAAGGGAAAGGCGCTTATAGCACTTTCGCGACTAGGATGTGTTGTTCTTCATCGACAACGTATTCCGATTCACGCAGGCAGGCTCTGAGGTGGGCGGTTAGAAGGAGAAAGATACACAGTCGTTATTTGTAATATCATGGCATATCGAAGGAGATAGATAGGCAGTCGTTATTTTTAAAATCATGGAATATCGAAGGAGATAGATAGACATACAGTCGTTATTTGTAAAATCATGGCATATCGAAGGGGAATAGTCATATAGTCAGATAGTTTTTATTACACTGTATAGTTACACTACTATTGGCGCGTTTGGAAAGAATTATGAGAGAAAAATTTTTAACGATGCGCGCGCACTCCGATAGCCAAACCGCGACATGATGAAGTTGGTTAATGTCCTCAATGTCTTCATCACAATTAGAGTTCTGCCACAGGGGATGAAATATTTTTTTATTTTTCTTTTGTAACGCTAAAGAATTATAACTTCTTACGTGATTACAAAATAATAATAATAATAATAATAAAAAAATATCTTTATTCACATAGAGGCTTGCGCGTTCTTATGAAACGTCAAAATTTTACAAGAAATTAACACGTTCGTAAGTTACCACCGGTTCGGAAAGCAGTTTCTGATGAGAAGAAACCGGCAAGAAACTCAACAGTTGCTCTTTTTAAAAAAAATCAGTTTACAATATAATAGTACATGTACAATAGTCTTGTTTTAGCCTACGTGAGTATCAACAGTATTAACCCCACACATTGGCTTCGTCAAGATATTCGGCAATAGAATAATAGGCTTTAGCCATAAGTTTACTTCTAATTTTTCGTTTAAATTCATCAAGTGGCAAACTTAATATCGACTGTGGGATTTTATTATACATGCGCACACCTTGCCCCATGAACGACCTGTTTACTTTTTGTAAACGAAACAATGGCGTAGTTAGTTTGTCCTTATTTCTAGTATTTAGTTTGTCTGTCACTATTCTTTAGATAACTATTAATATTATTTTTAACATACAAAATATTACAATAAATATATTGAGACGCAACAGTGAGTATATTAATCTCTTTAAAAAGGTCTCTGAGTGTATTCAGGGCTCCGATGTTATAGATTGCTCGGACAGCTCTTTCTTTTTTGAAGAATAAATATAGAATTTATATCAGATGCACTACCCCACAACAAAATGCCGTAAGACAAGATGCTGTGGAAATAACTGAAATAAACAAGTCTGGCAGTGTCGATGTCTGATAGCTGCCTAACCTTCCTAATTGCAAAAACAGCGGAGCTTAACCTGTTCGCAAGAGATGATAGATGGGGACTCCATTGGAGCTTTGAATCCACTGTAATTCCCAAGAATACAGCGGACTCAATAGGATTAAGGGTTACGCTATTTAATGTTAAGCTAAAACTTCGCCTTCTTACGCTGGGAAGGGTAAAAAGAAGGCATTTAGTTTTTTTTTAGCATTTAACACCATATTATTAACGGTAAACCAGTGGAGGATACGCGAAAGTGCACTATTCACGTCGTCATAATCCGACACGTTTCGGTCAACCTTAAAAATGAGCGATGTGTCGTCAGCAAACAGTACAAAACATCACATAACTCACTGGCATAAAAGGGGAGATCATTTATATACACTAAGAATAATAATGGACCCAAGATTGATCCTTGTGGGACACCCATTTTCATGGGGGACCCTGTGGAATTTACATCATTTATAGATACTTTTTGAATTCTTTTATTAAGGTAAGAGGCAATGAGATTGAGGGCGATGTCACGAATGCCATAATAATCTAACTTTTGAAGGAGGGTTTCGTGGTCTACACAGTCGAAAGCCTTTGAAAGGTCGCAAAAGACACCTATTGCATCTTGTGACCTTTCCCAAGCGTTATAAATATGCTTGACAAGTGCGACACCCGCATCCGTTGTCGATGTGCCTTTAGTGAATCCATATTGCTCATTGTGGAAAATTTTGTTCATATTAAAATGTACTAAGAGTTGATTTAAAATTAGTTTTTCAAAAATTTTACTCAGAGATGGCAATATGGAGATAGGTCTGTAATTTCCTGGATCATTTTTATCCCCACTTTTGAATACGGGGATTATCTTACTGAATTTCATAAGATCTCGAAATATTCCAGAATCTATACATTTGTTAAAAATATTTATAAAAGTAAAATAAATAATTCATTTAACCATGGATACGCGTAAATATAGAAAATGACCATGATTGTGCGCTTGATATATTCTTCAAGTAGGTGTCAGCTTTGCTGGGCCGCATACCCTCAGCGGTGGGCTACCAGCCGACCCTGGCCACCGACATGGGCACCATGCAGGAGCGTATCACCACCACCAAGGCGGGCTCCATTACTAGTGTACAGGTGTGTGCTTTTAAAAATTTTGTCAACGCATCTACGTCAGTTCTGCTGATGTCCCGAGAAGACTGTAGCATAGCCCACCACAGTTGCAGCCTCGTATTGGCAAACGTAGTGTAGATCGACTCCCCAATAGATGGTGTGTCGACCTGTGGTGACGATGAAGTGATTATGGTTATGATGAAGACCCGCCCGCTTGCCAAGCGGTGTAGGTTATAGTAACGACCTGTACAAATGTACGAGAGGTAGATGGACGCAGTTGGCTCAGGACCGTGTTTTGTGGCATACTGTTAGGGAGGCCTACGTTCAGCAGTGGACTCGAAAAGGATGAAACGATAATGATGACGATGACGACCCGCCCCTCCGCCAGGCGGTCTACGTCCCCGCCGACGACCCCGGTTAGTGACTACCTGAGCGGATTAAAAGCAGATGGACGCAGGCGGCTCGGCATCGTGCTTCGTGTTGAAATTATGATGATGTCGATGATGATGACGATGACGATGGTGATGACGTGGATGATGACGAAGATGATGATAACGATGATGATTATAACGATGATGATGATGACGATTATGATGAAGATGATATTAACGATGATGACGATGATAATGATGATTATGTTGATGATGGTGAGTCCCGGCCCGCTCTTCAGGCGGTGTACGTCCCCGCCGACGACCTCACCGACCCGGCGCCCGCCACCACGTTCGCCCACCTCGACGCCACCACGGTGCTGTCGCGCGCCATTGCCGAGCTGGGCGTGTACCCAGCCGTGGACCCGCTGGACTCCACGTCGCGAGTGATGGACCCGCACATCATCGGGCCGGAGCACTACGGCGTCGCGCGCGGGGTGCAGAAGATCCTGCAGGTGAGCGGCGGACGGACGGACGGACGGACGGTTTGCTTGCCTTGTTAGGGTTCCGCTTGGAGTGGACCACCATTAACATTTAGGGGGATGAACAATAGATGCTGATATTAGATTAAGCTCGGACACAGTGCACACTATTTAAGACGGAAACAGTTGTATAAAGATCAAGTTTTTGCTAGTGCCATTGCAGCTAAAGAAGCTGACAACATGAAATATCTTATATATGTCCCACTGCCGGGCGAAGGACACCTACGTACAGGGGGTATTAGGGCATAGTCCACCACGCGATCCCACTGCGGGTATTTCGAAAATGTGCAGAATTTTCACACGATGTTTCCCTTCATCGCTAAACGCACTATAAATCAGCACTTAAAAGTTTCATTGGTGCCGGCACCGAGATTTGAAGTCAAGTTGCTCGAGTGCCTATATTGACTTAAAGGCGGCGCGGACACTGAGCCATCGCGGCTCTTTAGTGTACGTCGAAAAAGCTGCCACATTTGTCGCTAAACGAGCTCGATGAGATGTGTGGCGTTCGCTGTCTCTTTTCCTCCCATTAAGATTCAAGTTTGGAATTTCTTGACACCCCACGATTCTGCAGCACGGTGGGGCCACGTGGCGGCCTCTGCTGGTGCAAGATCCGAGGAATAACAACGTCCCCACAAGAGACCGGCGTGATGTGGAAATGTTATACGTTTACGCGTTGCCACCTGATGATTGTTTTGAATGAATTTTACCCACAACCCTAAAATATTCTTTTCATATTATGTCCATCGAAAGGTTGCCTGGAAGAAATTGCTTTAAGTAATAAGGCCGCCCTTTGTACAACCCTTACATGATTATTATTTTTAATGTATTCTTTTTACCATGGTGTGTGCAATAAAGAATATTCATTCATTCATTGTTTTAATGGTTGCGACAAACGCACAGTCTTCTTGCATTCTTGTATTAACGGATATTGACGCTTTCAGTCCGGAGACTATTAAAGCTTCATCGAACGCAGAACCTAGATAGCCGCTAACCCGTGGGTTTTGGCCAGCTGGGTTTGAGGCCCTCCACAGTGGGTAGGGCCGCACATGTGGGTAGGGCCGCGTGCGTTGGCTAAGGAGGCCGTGACCCCGATGGCCGTTGACTGTACTTTGTTATTAGGCAGCTGGAGGCGGTGAGAAACGCCCTGCGACGCGGGTGTAGCTAGTGTAAGCGTTGTGTTCGAAGGCGAGGACGCACTACGGTGTTTGCTTTCGCACTGTGTGTAGTATCTGGCGTGTGAAACGCACAGTCATTGTATATGTACGCGGGCAGCAGCGGTTAATTTAGCATCGGCCAGTTTAACCCGTAAAATGATTGACCTTGATTCAGTTTCTATTAGCGGACTAGCGCGCGAAACAAAATGGCGCCCGTTGCAGGACTACAAGTCGCTGCAGGACATCATCGCCATCCTGGGCATGGACGAGCTCTCCGAGGAGGACAAACTGACGGTGGCCAGGGCGCGCAAGATCCAGCGCTTTCTCTCGCAGCCATTCCAGGTGCAACTACGTTTGGGGCTCGGATTAATAAACAAATAGTGGAACGGTCCGTTAATCGCGTGATGTGTTTCAGCATTTTTTTAACCTCCCTCTCCTCCTCGGTGGCAGTAGGTCTTAGTCTTAAACATTTATGATTATTATCTTTGAATGCAGTAAAGTATAATCTATTAACATTTGTAGAAAGAAGGAACGAAAAGTTCTTCGGCGCTGTGGGAATCGAACCCACGTCGTCGGGATTCGCGCCCTGACGCTTTAACCACTAAGCTAAACGGCTGATTGCCACACCGACCAGCATATAAACAATTTGGAATATCGTTTTACGACGATAATTCGAACGAGAGATGTCGCCATTGCTTTTTAGAAATTTAAAATTCTTTATTAGGGTAGGATATGACAATGGATGCGCCAAGCATTGCTTCAAATGCTAAAAACACAATGTAGATAAAATACATTAAGCCCGTTTAGCTTAGTGGTCGAAGCATCTGGGCGCAAACCCGCAAGAAGTGGGTTCGATTCCCGCAGCAGCGAAAATTTTTCATCCATTTGTTTCTACAAATTTTACTGTGGTGATCAGTCACAATAGTTTTATAACCTAGGCTCTTAGGCCCACGCCGTAGTGATGGTCTTCGACGGTTCCAGAAGAGTACTTTACTTTGCAGGTGGCCGAGGTGTTCACTGGACACCCCGGGAAACTGGTGAAACTGGAGGAAACTATAAAAGGATTCCAGCGGGTGAGATATCAAGTCCTTTCCTTCAACAAAATGTATTAAAGAAAAACTTTATAAAAAGGGTTATTATATTAGGTTGTTCGGATCAAAACCAAAAAATAAATTTTTATCGCGCAACATTTAAGGATCAACATAAGATTGAGCCACATTCCCCTGACTGTGTGATTACTATTGCATTCATCAGTTAAATTGAAGAATTGGTGGTGTTGCTTACTCTGATGCCAATGATGGGAATCGAACCCACGTCTTCGGCATTCACGGCCTGACGCTCTACCCACTGAGCTAAGCGGCTGATAACCACAGCGACGAAAATCTTAACGCCTACTTTCTACATTGTTATTTAGCATTTGAAGCAATGCTTGGCGCATCTATTGTTATATCCTTTCCAGCATACAAACAATTTCGAATATCGTTTTACAACGATAATTCGAACAAGAGATGTCGCCATTGCTTTTTATAAATTTTAAAGTTTTTTTATAGTGCTAATCTCTGCACTTAAGATTTGAACATGTTGTTCAAATCTTAAATGCAGAGATTAGCACTATAAAAAAACCGTAAAAGCTTTGGATAAAGAAATAACCGATGGCAACCACCATGGAAGGTGAGAAAGTTACCTTAGCGCTGACAAGCGGTTATAAATTCGCAGGGTGACTACCTCTAGTTGATCTTTAAATATAAGTTCGTATAAATGAAAACTATATCTTTTATTGGAATATTTGTGTGGGCGGGTTTGATCCGAACAACCTAATAATATATATGATATGAATACATTAATGACAATAACCCCTGGTAATGAGTTCAACGCTCCCAAGCTAGTTCTAAAAGAAAGAAAAAAAAAACTGGTAGTCAAGGTGAAAAGTTAAAATCAATCCTACTGCTACTATCAATACTACATTGGCTGGATATTTTACGCCCGGCTGACGTCAGCACTCTTTGGGACCAAACACTCAGATCAATTGTCTTTGTTATAATAATAATAAGTACCCGGAGGACCGAGCTTTGCTCGGTTTGTTTTTTTTTTTTGGTAAATCGTGTATTTTGGAAATTACATTTAGATACAAATTACTGAGTAATTAAATATGCATAATATTTATCGATCTTACCGACGTAATAATAAGAAAATATGAACTGATGTTTTTCACAAAAGAAAGAACTTAAAAAAAAGGGAAAAAAATAACAAAATAACAAATTGACAAGAAATTAAAAATAAAGAAAGCAATGATCTGGAATCGAAAAAAAAGTAAAAAAATAAATGTGTAAATAATCGTGACGCGAACCACGGCCGTCTGTTTTGGGGCCGCCCGATTACCGACCGAGCTATTATGGCATTTTCTCTTGCGGCGAAATTTACCGTCATATTCGAATTATATATTTCATTCCCTGAAAACAGGGATAAAGGGCATTTTTTAAAAATGAAACCTAGCTAGATCGATTTTTCGCCCCCGAATCTACGCGAATACAAAATTTCATGAAAATCGCTGGAGCCGTTTCCGAGATTCCGATTATATATATATATATATATATATATACAAGAATTGCTCGTTTATAATAATAATATACTTTATTGTACACCAAAAAATAAAAATAAAAAAGTACAAAAACAAAATATTTATCAAATATTGGTCATCTAAAGGCGGCCTTATTGCTACGCAGCAATTTCTTCCAGGCAACCTCCGAAATTTACCAAAAGGAATTGTTGATGGGTAGGATGTGCCTACATGAGGGAAATAAAAAATAAATAAGTAATAAAAGCAATCAAAATTAAATGAATAAGAAAAAACATACCTCATGTGAGGTATTTTGAGTCACACTCGAAATTTTGACGACCCGATCGTCGTGGGGAGTAGTGAACCTACCTCTTGTGCCACGCTATGGATTGTGTGTTCGATCCCCACCACTGGAAAATATTGCGTGATGAACATAGTGTTTTCCCAGTGTCTGGGTGTTTATATATGTATAACATGTATTTATTTACAAAAGAAAATCATGCTTAAGTATGTTTATCAGTTATAGTAGTTACAAGCAATGCTTAGCTTACGACTAGGGAATGTTGTGTAAAAATGTGTCCGAAAATGTTTATTTAGTTTCAATTAGCAATTGGTGTAATTTCGCAGATCCTCAAGGGCGAACTGGACCACATTCCTGAGTCGGCATTCTACATGGTTGGCACCATCGAAGACGTGATTGCGAAGTCTCAAACATTGGCCAAGAACGTGTAGGGCAACTCCATGTTTAGAATAAGATGTGAATGTGCGGAGAAATTGTTTGTTCTTTTACAGTCTAAATTAAATTGATGCGCCTTTTGAAATGTCTCACTTGTCTGCTTTTCACATTTTTTATGTATTTTGTTTATCACGATTTCGAAATAATAACAAAAAAAATTAAAAGTATTTCGAAGATTTGTAAAGTCCGCCAATTCGCAGTGGAGTATGCCCTGGTACACTCTGTACAGAGTCCTTTGCTCAGTAGTGGGACATTTATGGGCTGTAACTTTCCTTTTTTGTATTAATTTTGTTACCTACTAATAATCTGAACATTCTGTACAAAATTTTTATATTACCTTTACTATTGCATAAATAGTAAAGGTTGACAAAGGTGCATGCGGCTCCATCTATCGTTTGCCGCATTAAACATGTTTAGTGTTATAGAGCACTGCGATAAATATTGCACTTCGACCTTTGGAAAGAGACAATCGGCTAAGTTTGCTCTCGTAAAGCGTGCTCTGATGCAAGAAGTACTCATCGAAATAAGAAACAAGTACATTACATCTTTCGATATTCGTTTCTTTTATAACTACACTGTTTCTTAATGAGATTCCTCTAATGGAGAACAAACGGGCGAAAGAAACTCCTTATGTATCCGCTTTTTATATGCCAATAGGCATCGGTAATTTAAATGAGAGACACACAATGTGTGAAACTGGTAGGGCCACGCAGCAGCTAAGGCTGTTGAACGAATGGATGAATGAAAAATACTTGCGTTAAGTGGAAGTACGTGTTATACTTTCGCGTTTTGACTGATTTTCAAGTGGGGTAACTGCGGCACAATTTTCAAGGTTGGCAACGCATATGCAATCCGTGGGCGGCGGTAGGTAATCACTTAACATCAGGTGAACCACCTGCTCGCTTACAAACTTTTTATATTAAAAAAACATAAAAAGTATATTATCAACCTACAGAAACGTAAAATAAACTAAAAAATAACTAGCGAAACGTAAAAAGTCATTGCCATATTTTATGTTTGACAAAAATATGTTAAATAATATTTTCGAAAATCACAGAAAATGAATTTACAAATCTTGGTATATTTGCTTATTACAATTACCTACTAAAAATTTATGTTGATTTGAGTAACAGCCTCTAGATGGCGTTATTTTCTAAGTCATAATGCGAAAATGTTTATATAATAGTATTTAGTTAATGGTTTAAACGGTCTCCACTAGATGGCTCTTCACAATATTTTAGAAAATTAACGCCAAAACTTTAATAAAATGAATACAAAACCATGAGAACTCAAATAGAAATATTTCTACACTCGGCTTTTATGCTTTTAAATTAAAATAACAATTCATTCACTTATTGATCGTTTGGGTTTGTCTATATGGTAAAAATAATGCACAGAAGGATTTCAAATATTTGATATTTGCTTTCAAATGCGTCCCTCTATCTTATTTTGTTTTATCGAGTTTTTAAATACAAAGCTATTGCGTTAAAAATATATGTACATTGGTTCAAAATGTCTCAGCCCAGTTCATGGTTAAAGGCATCTTTTGACTATACCATCGAACATATATAGTTATATATATAGTTATACAGGAATAAAAGGACGAATTAAAGGATGATGGCAAAATATATATAAATGAACAATTTGTTTTCTTCTCCTTTGTCCCATGAATATTTTATACAGTTTGTATTTTTTTCATAGTAAATCACGCATTGGATTATGCGTGTTTTGAGGGAGTAACATCGTATTAAGACTCGTGTAGAAAATACGTATAAATGTATATAATAAATGTCTATTACTCTCGCATTTCGTCCAGCGACTCAACTGCGACCATGGATGTTATGGATGCCAATATGCAGTGGCAATTAATTAATTACATGACAATACCTTCATTGCCACCTCCCATAAAATAAAATACTAAGTAAAATACACATACAATTTCATATTTTCATTTACATATTTACATTTATTTGGGTTATATTCACAGATTCGTATACCATATAATATTTGTATATAAATACATATAATCACAACGACAATAATTAAGGCATCCCTCACGATCACTTATCTGTTCACCAGATAAAGCATACTTTTAAAAGGTATTAACACAAAAGTTTAGAATGTCTAATTTGATATTGAAGACCAGTCTTTAGGATTTTAACACCTTCCTGGGCCCAGACCAGTTATTGGACCCATCAGACCGCTACATATTATTCCTTAGACTCATGCGACACTGTCTTTAAACACTTCTGAGTATCACAATAAGTAAGTTTCCAAGATTAATATTCTATTTTATAGACACCACTCTGTCTTGGAGTATTATCATCTCTGGGTCTTAAACACTCCACACAATATTATCATGAGTGTATAAACATTACAAGTCAATCATAATCACCGTCTCTTTCCTATTAATCACAATGTGACAGCTAATATAATAGAACTTGTACAATGTCAGTAATAACACAACCTTCCGTTCCGGGTCCTCTTAGGTCACCCACAACACAATAAAAACTTGACTACCACCTCCGCTAGTTCACTACTGCCTTGAACTCGGCCTGCTTCACTTCTCGCCTTCAAAACTAAGCGCTGATGTCGCTCGCGGCCACGCTCAGGCTGCACTTCTGCACGAACGCCGCGCCGCACGTCGAGCACTTGAAGCGCTTGACGCCACCATCCGCTCACGGCCTCAAACTCGCCCCAAGAGCTTCGCAACTAAGCGCTGATGTCGCTCGCGGCCACGCTCACGCCGTGGTTGGACAGCAGGTGGCTCCTCAGGCTGCACTTCTGCACGAAACGCCGCGCCGCACGTCGGGCACTTGAAGCGCTTGACGCCACCATCCGCTCACGGCCTCAAACTCGCCCCAAGAGCTTCGCAACTAAGCGCTGATGTCGCTCGCGGCCACGCTCACGCCGTGGTTGGACAGCAGGTGGCTCCTCAGGCTGCACTTCTGCACGAAAACCGCGCCGCACAGCGAGCACTTGAAGCGCTTGACGCCACCATCCGCTCACGGCCTCAAACTCGCCCCAAGAGCTTCGCAACTAAGCGCTGATGTCGCTCGCGGCCACGCTCACGCCGTGGTTGGACAGCAGGTGGCTCCTCAGGCTGCACTTCTGCACGAACGCCGCGCCGCACGTCGGGCACTTGAAGCGCTTGACGCCACCATCCGCTCACGGCCTCAAACTCGCCCCAAGAGCTTCGCAACTAAGCGCTGATGTCGCTCGCGGCCACGCTCACGCCGTGGTTGGACAGCAGGTGGCTCCTCAGGCTGCACTTCTGCACGAAAACCGCGCCGCACAGCGAGCACTTGAAGCGCTTGACGCCACCATCCGCTCACGGCCTCAAACTCGCCCCAAGAGCTTCGCAACTAAGCGCTGATGTCGCTCGCGGCCACGCTCACGCCGTGGTTGGACAGCAGGTGGCTCCTCAGGCTGCACTTCTGCACGAACGCCGCGCCGCACGTCGGGCACTTGAAGCGCTTGTCGCCCTCGTGTATGCGCGTGTGCTCGCGCAGCGTGTACTTGCGCGCGTACGCCTTCCCGCACACGGCGCACCCGAACCGCCTCTCGCCGCCGTGGCGCACCATGTGCGCGCGCAGCGCTTTGGCGCTGAAGAAGCGGCGGCCGCACACCGCGCACTGGGCGTCCCTCTCGAGCAGGTGGCAGCGCTTCACGTGCGCGACGAGCAGCGACTTGAGGATGTACGCCTTGTCGCACGCGTTGCAGCGGTACGTCGCGGCGGCGTCGTGCGCCCGCACCTGCAAGGGGGGGGGGAGGGGAATTATAGCAGGGATATGTGTTAATATAGCATCTGCTGGGCAAAGGCCTCCTCTATACAGGATGTACTGAATTACATATTAGATTACACAATATGATATTATACAATATCATATTATACAATAGCGTTTAAAACTGCAGCTATCAATATGGTGCTGACACCGAAGGTTGCCCATCAATTATCATAACAGGTCATATGACTCAGGTAGTTGTTTCGCATCTGGGTGTTAGTCCGCGTGAAATTCATGTTTGTGAAACATGCTTACAACACAGGATATTGAAAATGTTGTGTAATAAAAAAATATATATTATATACATATACAACGTGGCGCTACTAACGCGACCATAAATCAACACACATATAAAGGATTACTTTTTTAAATTGCATTACACATTTACTTTCTTTAAACATCAATATTCACCGAGTAATTACATTTTCCGAAACTAATAATTTTAGAACAACCTTACGTATAAAACAGTAACGTAAAGTTCATTTGTAAATGTTATAAAGAATATGAATTGGTTGAATGAATTTAAAAGAGATAATACATACTGTTAGAAGGAGAGATTTGTAATGCGTCGCTGGGGCAACGAATGAAAAAGACTCAGAATGTATGAATCAGTCAGTTGTCAATTGTATAGTATGTTAGTGTTACAAATTTTGTTTCCTATTTATTTAATTAGTTTGTTTGAAAATTATTTTTTTTAATTATGAATTTTTTAACGTTTATATTTTTTTATGATTATTGGCAAGTAGCGTTAGATGTGTGTTCATTTATTGTCGCGGTTGTAACGCCATGCTGTATCACTACATAGTATAAAACAAAGTTGTCCCGCTGTCTGTCCCTATGTATGCTTAGATCTTTAAAACTACGTATCGGATCTTGATGTGGTTTTTTTATACTAGATAGAATGATTCAAGAGGAAGGTTTATATGTGTAATACATTGCACCCGTGCAAAACCGGGGCAGGTTGCTAGTAGTTTAATATATACACCGGGCCTCACCAGGTGCCGGTTGCGCTGGTAGTAGCTCCGGAAGGGGGCGTCGCAGTGCGGGCAGTTGGCCACCCTCTTGGCCGCCGCGTGCTGGCAGCGCTGGTGGCAGCGCAGCTTTTGCCCGCTGGAGGAAAGAAAGAAAGAAAGAAACGTTCATTGCACAGTTACGCCACATTAGAATTGGATGAAGGGATGAAAGAAAGAAAAGCTCCAACAGTTGGAGCATATCAACGTTTGAACTAAAAAAGAGGGCCAAGTGCGAGACAGACGCGCGCAAAGAGTTCCGTACCACTGTCTATATAACAGCGAAAAAATCATGTCTGTTGTGTGGGAGCCCTATATAAATATTTTTTTTATATTATTCTGTTTTTTAGTATCTTTTGTTATAGCGGCAAGAGAAATACATCATCTGTGAAAGATTTCCACTGTCTAACTATCACGGCTCATGAGATACATACAGCCTGGTGAGAAACGGACAGACAGACGGACACAGAAAGCGCAGTCTCAGGAATAGACTGCGCTAGGGTCCCATTTTACTTTGGGTACGGAACCCTAAAAAAGGACCGCTGCGGGGAATCGAACCCACGTGTTCCGGTGACAGACCAACAAACAGACAGACAGACGTTAAATGTATAGAAAAAAGATCGAAAAGATTTTCTACATATTTTAACGTTTAATTTATCAGAGTTTAGCACTATAAAAATTTTAATTCCTTAGTCAGACGGCGCAGTCTAAATAATGGGAGTCCCGTTTTTCCCCAAACAGGACCTGGCGAATATCTTCGGGCACTGGTTGCACGCGAAGCTGCCACGCAGGTGGGTGGAGCGGTGCGCGCTTAAAGAGCGCATCGTGGCAAAGGCCGCGTGGCAGGCGTTGCAGGGGTAGTTGCCGTAGTGGCGGTTCATGTGCTGCTTGAGGGTCTTGAAGGTCTCGAAGGCGGAGGGGCAGAGGGCGCAACGGTGCACATCGCCGGCGCTCAGACGGAACTCCAGCACGTGGTCCTGCAATGTTTTAACAGACTTTTCTTCAATATTTCTCCAGCAGTGGGTTCGTTCCCCACTACTGGAAAAATGTTGTGTGATGAACATAGTGTTTTATATCTATCTATCATATCTATAATATGTATTTATTTACAAAAGAAAAGTATGTTTAAGTGTGTTTATCAGTTATCTAGTACCCATAGTACAAGCTTTGCTTAGTTTGGGACTAGAGAATGTTGTGTAAAAATGTGTCCTAAATATTTATTTTTTACTTCGAATAGGAGGAGGCTCTCAAATCTTTATCTACAACATTTCTGCAAATAAAGATGATTATGATTATGATTATAAATCGACGGTATATTTTTTTTGTTTGTCACCTCAGAACTTTTGACTGAGCGAGATTTTTATGTTTTTTTTTTTATTTGAAAGCTGGCGCTCCCCGGGTGGTCCTATGATAATTGCATTGGTATTGGATCTTGCTCCGGGGATACTTGGAGAAATCGATTATAAAATGAGTACAGAGCGAGACATTTGAAGTCTGTTTTGTTTTTCGTTAGTGAAAAAAAAATGGTTATTTATTTTAAAAGCATTGCCCTCACTTTAGCTTAACATTATCCTGCGTTATAATATCTTGTATTTACGCGATTAAACATAACTAAATGAAACTATGTTAACGGATTCATCGCGTTCGTTTTCAGTTTTGATTACCAACGTTTCGAACCCTTTGCATCGTTCATGATTACGGGACAGACCGAGTATCATTGTCACTCCTGGCTATCGCCAGTTTTATCCTAATACAAATCATATAAATAAAACCCGTCCCCTGTATTAATTATCACGTTTAACAGAACTGTGTCAATAGTGTAGGAAATGATGTACTCAAAATGACAAAAATTTTGCAATACATACGTACTAAATGAAACAAAATAGTAGTAAAATAGACCTAACAATAATATGAAGGGTAGAAGATATGGAGAGTAGATATGGAGGGTAGAAGATATATCTTCTACCCTCCATAATAAAAAATCATTAAGTAAGAATGAACACTTCATCACATTAATTTATTCAATATTTTAAACAACGTACCCTATTTTTGTTTTTCTTTATTTTTTTTATAAAACATACAAGTATCCCCAATATCTATTACGTTAACCCAAATAAAACATCTGCTATTAATTATTAACGAAAAAAACTAAACGCCATATCCGCACCTTGATGTCCTCGTGGATTGTCAATCCGTGGGCAGCCACTAGATGGCGCTTGAACGTGGCCAGGCTGGGCATAGGCGATTGGCACAGCGCGCACGCTAAGCCCGTCACGTCCAGCTTGACGCTGTACTCGGCCATGTCGAAGCTGGACTTGAAGGCGAGCCGCTCGAGCTGGTGCCGCTGGGCGGTGTGCACCCTCAGGTCCTCGGGGTCTGGGTGGGTGGAGTCGCAGTAGCCGCACACGAAGCCCAGCAGCGACTTGTCCTTAAACGGCGTGGCGTTAGAGTGGCGCAGGATGGTGAGCAGGTTCTGGCGGTGCTTGAGCTTGTCGCCGGCGCGGGGGCAGCTCTTCGCCGCGACGGGCTTGTCGCCGCCGGCGCGGGGGCAGCTCTTCGCCGCGACGGGCTTGTCGCCGCCGGCGCGGGGGCAGCGCTTCGCCGCGACAGCCTTGTCAGCGCCGGGATCTGAGGGGAAAACATGGCCGTGCTGTTGTAAGGTAACACTGGCCGGTAAGGAGCGCGTGAGTGCGAGCGATCTTTTTCTTTTTAAGCGTTCCCTACAAAAGAGGGTTAAACGGGACCCTATTACTAAGACTCCGCCGACTGTACGTCTGTCTGTCCGTCTGTCCATCAGTCACCAGGCTGTATCTCAGGAACCGTGATAGTTAGACAGTAGAAATTTTCACAGATGATATATTTTTATTCTCGATATAACAAAAAATAAAGGGTGTGGATATTGTTCCTCAATAAAATAAAAAAATAAAAATAAATACTAAGAAACCCCAGCGAGTGGTATGATCTCTTTCTGTACAACTTCTTGCCTGAGAATCCACATAAGAATGCTACTCACTAATGGGACTCTTGTCATCTTCTTCTTTTCTCTGCTTCTTCACTCTGCGCTTCGGTGAGTCGCACTCTGTGCTAGGCTCTGCATTCTTCTGCGTGGCCTCCCTAACTGAAACGCAAGAAAAATATTTTATTATTATTATTACTACCTTATACATCAGAATAAGACATAGGCTATAATTTATATACATATTTTATGTATATCTGTCTTTCTGTCTGAATGTTACGCCTTCAGCCTATTCTACGCAGACGTAGTCGGGCAGCAGCTATTAAGCTATATTATTGTAAAGTTTCATTAAAATCCATTCAGTAGTAGGTATTTGCGTGAAAGAGTATCAAACATCCAACCATACATACAAACTTTCGCGTTTATAATGTTAAGAAAGTATAGTTTAACGTCTTCGAATTTTTGCATACAACATTTACATCGCTATATTTTTTCATTAACTAACAACTTAAAAATACAAAATAGCAACCATTTCGACGGGGGTGAGATAGGACACTGTAGACCAGTGGATTTAGTAAAGCTAGCCTAAGGGATGGCTTGAACCTGAGTGATGAAATGAAATGGCTTTAAGTAGGTCGAAGCCGGAAGTTCTCACTATTAGACTTTTGTTCCTTGAAATATTTCCAAATCCCAAGGTCTACCGTCCGTGCAGAGGGGGACTTTGTCCAGCAGTGGGATATATACAGGCCGTTGCATTTGCCTCGAGTTTAATTGAATCGAGTGTAATACCTCCTCTCCACCATCACCTTACTCACCTCATTCTGATCGCACATGAAGATCACAATGCCCTCTGTTTTATAGCCTTAGCTCTCGGAACCTAGGATTATGCACTAAAACGGTCAAACTTTGGTCACCCGTTGACCAAAGTTTTTGAGTTTGACCATTTTTGAAGCGAACCCTATGGTTGAATTCGGTTAGTTTTTTTGTAAAATGTTTTGAAATGAAACTATTCCGTTTTTAAAAGAAACCGCAATGGTAATGCAGTCGTTGATACAATCGCACTAACTCTGCAAGAGCATATTCAGTTTTTCCTTCCGGAAAGACAGAAGGAAGATAATAATGGGACGGAATATAAAATACCTACATCTTGAATGAGTAAATTTTTACTGACAATTTATTGACTCGCTTTACTCGCGTGCCAATTTTTTTTAGCTCGGAACGGGACCCTATTACTAAGACTCCGCTGTCTGTCCGTCTGTGACCAGGCTGTATCTCATGAAACATAATAGTTAAAATTTTCAGAGATGATGTATTTCTGTTGCCGCTATAACAACAAATATAAGAGTTGATTCTAATATTTTAACTAGTACTGAACTTGAATATTAACGACTATTATAACTACAATCAGCACTAGTGGTTATATCACCGTCATGAAACGCAGCCGAAATGCCAGTGACCGCTGCTGTAAGAGACCATATGTCTCTTGGCTCGAGTAGATAACGTCATATCCGGTATACAGTGTTGCCAGCGACAACAACAAATACTAAAAAACAAAATAAAATAAAATATATTTAAGCTGCTTTTTGCCGTTTTTATGGATAATGGTACGAAACCCTACGTGCCCGAGGCCGACTCGCACTTGGGCGGTGTGTTATGGATAGCGGTATTTGCACTTGATCATCATCATATCAGCCGTAGGACGTCCACTTCTGAACACAGGCCTCACTGGCCATTGACCTCCACTTCGACCCTGCGATCTTGGTACTTGCACTTAGCCGATTTTATTATACAGCGTGTCTTTACAATCGCGACAATAAATGAACACACATACAGAGGATAACTTTTTAAAATTGTATTAAACATTTACATTCTTTAAACATCGATAATTACAGAGTTATTAAATTCTCCAAAACAAAGAATTTTAGAACAGCCTTACGTATAAAACTATAACGTAAAGTTCATTTGTAAAGGTCACAAAACATATGAATGGGTTGAATCAATTTAAAAGGGACAAAACATACTGTTAGAAGGAGATGCTTGTAATGCGACGCTGTGGCAACGAATGAAAAAGTCTCTGTATGTGTGAATCAGTCAGTTGTAGTTGTATAGGATGTTACAAATTTTGTTTATTTTTTACTTAATTAGTTTGTTAGAAAAATATTTTTTTAAATTATGGATTTTTAACGTCAATATTCTTTTATGATTATTGGCCAAGTAGCGTTAGACGTTTCTTCATTTATTGTCGCGATGGTAACGACACGCTGTATATCGCACCGTGAAAAAGTCCCCTGAATACACTGCATACTATAGCAGGGAATTTTCGCTACATACCTGTTTCGACGATTAAGGTGCTTCCCGTATCCTCTTCTTTATCCACTCTCGTCGCAATAGATACGTCTGCGGAGGCCGAAATATAGTACTCTAAAATATTTTAAACTTGATATTGTTTCATATGCTGAAAAAACAATGTGGATAAAAGCGAAGTTGAAGATTTCGCCGGTGTGGCAATCAGCCGTTTAGCTTAGTGGCTAGAGCGTAAGGGCGCGAATCTCGAAGACGTGGCTTCGATTCCCACGGCGGCGAGAAAACTTTTCTTTTAATACAAATTTTAAAACTTGATATTTTGACAATTCTTGGCACTTAACCGTGGTAGGGTCACTAAATTCTTGGCTGCTGCACCAATGGCCAGGTCCGTCCAGGTAAGTACCACGGCCTCACAGAAGACGGGCGTGAACTAGAAGTGTTATATTGTGGCGTTTCATCAGGTGAGTGAGGTAGCCGGGGCCCACTTTATTAAGAGGTGGCAACGCTACCTTCTCACGTAAAAAAACAACAGTTGTCAATATGAAAATGCAAAGATGCTTTAAAATGCAAATATCACACAGAACATTTAATTGTCCGAGACGATGTTTACGTCGGGGAGAGATATTAGGAATATGTTATATGGCTCCGTGGCGCGGTAGTCAAGGCTTCGGCACCTGGGATCCTAGGTTCGATTCCTATTCGATATTTTTTTCGGATCCGGGTATTTGTCCACGTGAAATTTATGTATGTAAAACACCCGTACAACACGGTATAATGTTATCCTTCAGTTAAGGAAATGTTAAAAAAAATATATTTCGTGAGCCAGTAAAGTGAATAAACAAATAGGAACAATAAAAATGTGGGCCCCAGCTACCTCACTCATGCGAAAGAATGCTAAAATATCTTTAAGACACTAAAACGTAATGTCTTTGACGGTAAATCTTCGCCCATCCTATCAGACCGTCTCGCTCACTCATCTGTTTCCAAGCGGTTTATCGTTTTATAATTTTTTTTTCAAGTTATACTTGTTTTGGCGCGTTTGGGAAAATGATGAGTGAATTTTTACGATGCGCGACAGAAACTGTTACCATGGCAACCAATAACAATTTTTTGACATATACTATGATTCCGAGTTATATTAAACCGTTATCCGTTGCATTTAATGCTTTTTTTTTCACAAACAAACAAATGGCACACGGGATGCAATTTTTAGTTGTTTTTCTTTTCTTACGCTAAAAAAGTCATACATACAAGTTATTTTATTCTTTTTTTTATTATTATATTCACTTACTCGCGGCTTCATCTTCCACCTTCGTCCTCTTCTTCGCTCTTCGCTTAGGTGGAGATTTTATCAATGCCTTGGCAACACCAACTAGAAAAAAAAAACATTATTTACGGCTTAGCCCGCTGTGTAGGACCTTAGTGCTTTCTTTTCTTTTCTTTCCTTTCTTTTCTTTTTTTTTTCCTCCTTTGTTGTAAGGACTTTTTAAGAACATTTTCACATGGACAAACAACCAGATGCGAAACAACTATCTGTGGGTTGCACAAATAGTAGTCCTGTGCGGGAATCGAACCCGCGAGCCCCGACGCCGAAGCCAATACCTTGACAACTGGCGCCACGGAATCGTGTTTCTGTTAAATTAGAATAGGAATGGAATAATAAATTGCGGAAGAAACAGGAATAGATGCAGAAAACGTGATGTGTAGATAAATGGACCAAAAAGAGGCATTTGTTTTAGGCCGCCGCTTAAGGCCGTGATAGCTCAGTGTCCGGGTGCTCGCTTTTCAGTCATTGTACTCGAGCAACCCGAGTTCAAATCCCGGTGCCAACACCAAAGTAGGCGTCTTCAAGGCAAGAGTGAATACTGAGCTAGCGCGCTTACTATTAAAGGCTGCATCGCCACTTACCATCAGGAGGTATGGCGGTTAAGTGCTGGCCAGTTCTAAATTAAAAAAAAAATTAAAAATTAAGAAAAAACAATGTAATTCTTAATTTAAATTATCACGTACTCAGCGGTGAAGCAAAACAACGTTTGGAAACCGGCATATTTTCGAAATGAAAACAAAAATAATTTTATGATATGTAATGTCTGCAAATCCGCAGTGGGCTCGCGCGGTGGAATGTAATATAACCCCCTGTACAGAGAACTTTGCCCAGCAGTGGGACATTTATTCGTCGATACCTTACTTTACTATAGGTCCTTAACATGTGTTTCTGTCAAAATAGATTCGGAATATATACCTACATAAAATGTTCACCCTACATGTTCATCTCGGGCGCTAAATAAAATTTATCATAAAAAAACGAATAGGTATTTCTATATGGTGACTAACGTTCTGTTGTTTAATAAAATTAAACTCTTTTAGAGATTTTGACTCCCTGAATTTAGTTTTAGAATGTCTCACAGCGTTCATATTGACTACATAAATATAAAGAGAAGCAAAAGTAAAGCAAATGATAATAATAATAATAAAGTGATAATAAAAAGTAAAGTAATAATAATTTAATGGCTCAAACTTAGTACCCGCTGCACGCGTGTTTAAATTTCCGGACACGGCGCGTTCAGTGTCTGCTTCAAGATCAGTCTTGACTTGCGCGCCCTCTGCAATCATAATGAACATTTCGTTGCAAGACAAAGGCGACATCTCTCGTTCGAATTATCGTTGTAAAACGATATTCGAAATTGTTTGTATGCTGGAAAAGATATAACAATAGATGCGCCAAGCATTGCTTCAAATGCTAAAACACAAAGAGTTAAGATTTTCGTCGTTGTGGCAATCAGCCGTTTAGCCGTTTAGCGGGAGGGCGCGAATACCGAAGACGTGGGTTCGATTCCCACAGCGGCGACAGTATTTTCGTACTTTTTCTACAAATTTTAAAAGACAATCGTCTAACTTCGACTTCTAAAGCGTCGAAAAAGCGTCATCCCTGTCACACGAATCGCTAAACGTGTTTCAGCCAGTGATTTTAAGTTAAAAATTGGATGTCATCGTAAAGCTTGTTTATATGGATAAAAACTTGTTAAAAACAAAATATCGAAAGAAAGTTTCAATGTTACATTACTAGCCTATTATTATTTTTTTACTTTTCGATACACAAAGGATAACACAAATAGTTGTGACGTGTGGAGACCGAACCCGACGCTGAAGCCAATACGGGCCACAAACCATAAAAGTCATATCAGTCCTACCACAATGAAAATATAATTTAAATAGAGAAGGACAAACCGTTTTTACTCTTCTCCCTCATCCATTTGATGAAGTCCATATCTGCTTTTAACACTTGCTGCTTAAAGCACAGTGAGCTCCTTAAACTTTTTATGCACATATTGCAGATGGCGTTGCTGCTTCCATCTGTTGACAACTGTAAAAACATTAATAATAATAAATAAATGTGTGTATATAATAAAATGTGTATTATATTTATTATATTTTTATATGTATATGTTTATTTTTATCCATAATATTTATTTTATATATGCATTAGGTATCTATTTGTTTATTTTTTATTTATAAACCCAACCAGACGAGAAAACAAATGAATATCCCCCCATAATAATAAATAATAATAAGCGAGCTATGGAGTGGGCTATGCTTGGTATTTCTCTGCGTCATAGAGTTCGCAATGGAGACATCCGCAGTAGAACAAAGGTAACCAACATAGCTGAGAAGGTTAGTAAACTGAGATGGCGATGGGCCGGCCATATAGCTCATAGACCTGATAACCATTGGGGAAGAAAGGTTCTCGAGTAGAGGCCTCGTACTGGCCATTGTAGTTTTGGACGATCCCCCACTAGATGGAGTGACGACCTGTGCATGCACAAGTGTGCGGGAAGCCGATGGATGAAGGTGGCTCAGGATCGTGCGACGACCTGAGCAAGTGTGCGATGTGGCAGTCTGGAGGAGGCCTATGTTCAGCAGTGGACTCGAACAGGCCAAAATGATGATGATGAAATAATAATAAATATTTTAGGACACATTTTTACACAACGTTCTCTAGCCACAAACTAAGCAACGCTTTTACTACGGGTACTAGATATATGATAAACATACTTTTCTTTTGAAAATAAATACATACTATATGTATATGTATACTAGCGACCCTGCTTCGCCCGAGTGCAATATATTATACATAATATAAACCTTCCTCTAAAGTCACTCTATATAGTAAAAAAACCACAGCAAGATCCGTTGCAAGCAATCTTCATATCATATGACATTGCAAGCGAAGCAAATTCACTCAACAAAATATTTATTTATTAACTATAAAAATTTGTGACATAAAAATTGTACTATATATAACTATTAATAAATGTACTTACTATATTAAATATATTTTTTCTATATTATTGTAAATATTAATTGAATGTTAAAAATATTTATTTAAATTTAATAATTTAAATAATTGTCTTTAAAAAAATATTAATAGTTAATATATTCTTCTATAAGTGTATTGGTGGTGGTGGTACAATAATACGGTACGGTAATGGCGGTTGTTGGCGGGAGCTTACAACACATGTTTATTTACATGAGATCACTTAATTAACTGAGAGTTAAAAGTCTTTATCAGTTATAAATAAATTGTGAATAAATAATTATTGCAAGGAGTTTACTTATGAACATCGTGACACCAGAATTTTATAGATTAGATAGACACCCAGACACTAGAAAAACACTGTTCATCACACAATATTTTTCCAGTAGTGGGGATTGAACCCACACCCTCTAGGGCGGGAGACAGGTACTCTACCCAATACTCTATTCAGGCAATCAAATGCCGTAGTTTGTAGTGGCTTGAAATTGAATTAATAATACTACTAATTATTATTACTGTCCTTCCTAAACTTATTTTATACCATGCTGAACCTCACCATCACAACAAGCACTAATAATAGACAATAATAAACTGCTTATTAAATATAGAACATAAGAAGTCATTAGTGTCTGTCACCGGGATATGAATCCACAACCTTAACATTGTAAGCCCGACATCTCAGCAACTCGGAAGCAGTAATCTCAGAAGCAAGGGATGCATTATCTATAACTTTTACCATCATTATAAACATTCAAAATACTAGAGACAAAACTTCACGATTACAGTAGATTTTTTTAATAGTTTTTGTAAAATTTTTGCTATAAAATATTTAGTTTTTTGTCTAAAATAAAAATAGTTAACTTCAAATTTAGCAACTTTTTGTATTAAGGAATTTAAATTAAAGTCATGTATCAAAATCCAGAGCTAATTATTATGGACGCGACTGTTAAGCTAAAGTGACGATTTAATATATTATGTGTCCTACTTACTACAACATTGAAGCATTCCAGTAACATGTCCGAATAAATTTCTTTTTTGTCAAACCATGCATATGGCGTACTGAGATCTTTATGGAGACCTTCGACCAAACAACATCGACATACGTTTACACTTTCCATTATTTTTCAATTACGTTTCATACAGTAAAGTTAAAATTAATAAAATAAACGACCTGAAACAATTTTATAATAACATGTCATTGACAACAACAACAAACAAAACAATACAATAGTCATTAGTGTTGCATATCGATAGTCTGCTATCGATAGACAATCGATTATCTATCGATAGTTAAGGTAAAAGCAATAGTATCGATAGTCTATTGAAAGTATTGTCACGTGTCAATACTGTCGATACTATCGATAGTATCGATGGCTCTCTAAATGCCAATACTATTGATAACAGTAATACTGTCGATAGTAATGCATGCGATAGTATCAATGGTATCCATAGTATTGCAATTGCCATTAATTTTTGACAAAAACTATTGATACTATCGATAATATCGATGATTTTGTACTACGAATAGCCTTTAACTGGCTATCGATAGTACAAACCTATCGATGGTTGCGAAACACTAGTCATGGGCAAAAGATATCGATATTTTTCCATAAAATTTTCGATACATGTCATCGATATGTTTTATTGCGATATTTCGATATTCAATTATTATTTCAGACTATCGAATTCGTGTCAATTTCAATATATTTTTTAACGCAACTCCATTTCGTGTTTAATGTTACTAGAAACATTTTGCATTGTCTTGGCACATCGTGAACTTTATAAGAATTCAACTACTTTCGTCATGTCTATTCTTTTTTTACAAATTTTGAATGATTTAGAAATATACATGAATTATCATGCGAAAATTGACCATATATCGATATTTTTCACTCGATAATTATCCATACTTTTATAAAATATCATAAATATCGAAATTTTTTTACTTGCCCATCCCTACATTACAATGCTAATAAGTGCAGTGTTACCTAGTTGGTAAAAAAATGCCCCTAAAATTAAGATAAAATACCCCTAAATAATCCTTAAAAATGCAATTTTCAATAGCCCCAGAAAAACCTGTATTGTATATAAGATATTATTTAAATGAGTTCCACGTATTGTTAAGGTCAATATAATATAACTCAGTTGTTGTTATTTTTAATTACAAATAGTTTAAATAACTAAAAAAAAAAAACTACATAAAGCTATATTAATATATAATTATTATGACTCGACACGACATTTTTATTAATATAGGTTAGTCAAAATAGTGAGGTAATAAAGTATGAAATATTTTTCCCAAATGCATATAATACCGCAAAATTTGGGGCTATAAACCCCGAAGTTGGCAAGCTTGGATAATTCCCGGTTCCTATATGAACGGCCGTAAGTTACGTAGCTTCGTAACATTCATAACGACTTGTAAATTAAAGGAACGCTAGTAACTCACTTTCCGTAGGTAAAGCAACGGCTCGTAAGTTAAACGCCTCGATTTATTATTATAGGAACCGGGGCGTACACGCTTTTTATGGACAAGTCGTTGTGAAAGTTATGAAGTTATGTAACTAACGGCCGTTCCTTGAATATAGGAAAGGAACCAGGCATAAGTGACACTGGTACAGTGACAGTATACTGCAATGTTACTAAATCTTCAAAATTAATTCTCCTAAATCCATTCCAAAAGTGTTCAAAACCCATTTACATATTTTTTAAAAATAAATTATATTTGTTTTTTCTAAAGGCCACACAGAATCAATAATAACAACAAGGTTTTGTGCTGTATAACATTTTCATTGGTATAGATTAGCAAAACAATTAAACCCCCTATAAAAGATGTATAAATTTTGTCTTCCTAAATTTAGGAAAAAATCTCCTAAGTTGGCATCACCGGTGTACTGTGACAATAGGCTACTTGACTCATATCAAATTTGACCCTTTATATGAGTATTTCATGCAGTATTAGACATACAAAACCGAAATATATTGATTTCGGTTAATAAATAAATAAATAAATAAAAGTGCAAGATGACTGCACAATTTCAATTCAAAAATGGCTTCTTTTATTTTTTGTTCTAAACGCTGAAAACGCTTGCGGCCATAATGTGACGTCACATAACCTGTAAGCAAACTTTGTTAATGATAGCAGTGTTAACAACTGTTAAAAAAATACTCCTTAAAGAACTATTTAATTAAAATCATCCAGAAAACTAAATATAATTTTTCATTTTTAAATTACTTTAGAAATGAATAATGACTATATATTTAAAAAAAATTAAATCATAAACATTAGAATACCTAAACTAAAATAACCAGTAGTTTTAACTTTGGCATTTTATATTGCTAAGTAAAAAATATGCTTAATAAGTAAATAACTGTAGTTACTCAACGAAAATATCCCACTTGAAGTAAACCTACAAAAACAGTGGGATGTTCCTTTGGTGCGAAGAGTACAGAGAGATACGTTTCAATGAAAATGAATGAATTTAGAAAGTAATTTAGAGCGTGCCCGTTTCCTAGGTGTCTTATCTAAGGAATCGAGTTATTGGCTTCTCGCTTTACCATCAAGTAACTTGGGCACATTACTTGACGATGAAAGCTTACGCATTGCTGTAGGAATCCGTCTGGGTGCACCGATTTGTCAACCACACCAATGCCCTTGTGGTGTCAGTGTAGACAAATTTGGTCTCCACGGGCTTTCTTGTCTAAAAAGTGCCGGCCGTTTTTCCCGCCACGGTTCCCTGAACGATATCATCCGTAGGGCTCTTGTTTCCATCAATGTTCCATCTATTTTAGAGCCCTGGGGCATTTTTCGCGACGATGGTAAGAGACCCGACGGTTTAACATTGACCCCTTGGGAGAGAGGCAAAGCCCTTGTTTGGGACGCCACTTGACTCACAACTAAGGGGTACTTCGGTCAGGGCCGGGGCGGCATCGGAGGCAGTGAAGTTTCTGAAGTAAGTAAATGGCGCAAATATGAGTCTTTATGTTTAGATTATGTATTTGTGCCATTTGCTGTTGAAACATTAGGTCCGTGGGGAATACATGTAACGTTTCTATAGTGGGTGTCTAGATAATGATGGGAAGATTAATAAAAGATTTATTAGCAGTTAAGAAGTTGTATTCACCCCTTCGGTTTAATGTTACAATCCCTGGACTAGCTCAGATACAATATATTTAAAAAAATATATAACAATAATAATGAGTTGGGCGCCTTGTCTGTTAAGAACAGACTGTTGTAATAAATACAATTAAGTATCTCAGGGAGTCGTGAGTACATAGGACCTACACATTACTTTGTGCGACCATAAAAGGTTAAATAATTAAATTAATTTGAGATGGTAAAACTTATGCAATTCAATTTAAAAAATAAAGTCCAATCAGGTAGTTATTTAAAATCCATGTCACCGCAGAGACATCGGCCCTGTGTGCACAGGTCAGCGTTGAGCTCAGAACCAGTAGATAAAGTCAGGCCAAGTGTAGTGTGTACAGCCACACTGTTGGGGGGTATGTAGGAGACCTCCTGCCAACAAACACTACATTGTAGAACTAACGAAGGCAGGGATATGAATCCACCTACAATTATAAGATGTGAAACACTTACCAACCGGAGGCAAAAAACAATATTTAATTGAGCAGCAGCCTATGCCTTCAGCATCCACCTGTGATATTCGAAAAACCATACTTAGAAACACGAGACAATAAATTCTCAACCTACCTTCATGTGACATTTCTAAATACATTCACAATGCAAGTCTTTTACAATTTTAGTAGGAAACCAGTGAAAATAACAAAGGATCTTACCACGAGGGATAACAAATCCAGCACAGTTTCCCAGACAGCAATCACAAATAATACGACAAGGAACGTGTTCTGATTCAACCTCTAGCCCTGCACTGTAAAAAAGCGAATTGATAAGAAAATGAAATACGTAAACCAAACAACCGACCGAAACCAAGCAATTACTTACCAGTCGAAGATAATAGATCCACAAAAACTAATTTATCCAATGTCAATTCAAACCGGCGGCAATCTCAAATGACAAGTACCAACAAATTAGAAGTGGGCGATACAAATCGTATCAGATATGAAAACTAGATATTATTACAATATCCCAATATCGCTTACTGGCTCGTTCAATATCTATGTATTTTACAATATCTGATATTTCCGAAATCTGATGTACCGTGCTCGCTCGCTATACCGACACGAATCGCGATACGGCGATATCATACGCGTTTGCCACAATATCTGATTTTTTAAACAGATTTCGAGAGACAAAGCGCGTGAGATACAAATACTCACTAGTTAGAGCGGGACGGCAAGCAATGCACGATATCAGATATCGAGCGACAAAGCGCGTGAGATATAAATACTTACTAGTTAGAGTGGGACGGCAAGCAATGCACGATATCAGATATCGAGCGACAAAGCGCGTGAGATATAAATACTTACTAGTTAGAGTGGGACAGCAAGCAATGCACGATATCGATATTGAGCGACAAAGCGCGTGAGATATAAATACTTACTAGTTAGAGTGGGACGGCAAGCAATGCACGATATCAGATATCGAGCGACAAAGCGCGACAGTTAGAGTGGGACGGCAAGCAATGCACGATATCAGATATTGAGCGCCAGAGCGCGTGAGATATAAATAGTTAGAGTGGGACAGCAAGCAATGCACGATATAGATATTGAGCGACAAAGCGCGTGAGATATAAACACTTACTAGTTAGAGTGGGACGGCAAGCAATGCACGATATCAGATATTGAGCGACAAAGCGCGTGAGATATAAACACTTACTAGTTAGAGTGGGACAGCAAGCAATGCACGATATCAGATATTGAGCGACAAAGCGCGTGAGATATAAATACTTACTAGTTAGAGTGGGACGGCAAGCAATGCACGATTTCAGATATCGAGCGACAAAGCGCGTGAGATATAAACACTTACTAGTTAGAGTGGGACAGCAAGCAATGCACGATATCAGATATTGAGCGACAAAGCGCGTGAGATATAAATACTTACTAGTTAGAGTGGGACGGCAAGCAATGCACGATATCAGATATTGAGCGACAAAGCGCGTGAGATATAAATACTTACTAGTTAGAGTGGGACAGCAAGCAATGCACGATATCAGATATCGAGCGACAAAGCGCGTGAGATATAAATACTTACTAGTTAGAGTGGGACGGCAAGCAATGCACGATATCAGATATCGAGCGACAAAGCGCGTGAGATATAAACACTTACTAGTTAGAGTGGGACGGCAAACAATGCACGATATCAGATATTGAGCGACAAAGCGCGTGAGATATAAACACTTACTAGTTAGAGTGGGACAGCAAGCAATGCACGATATCAGATATTGAGCGACAAAGCGCGTGAGATATAAATACTTACTAGTTAGAGTGGGACGGCAAGCAATGCACGATATCAGATATCGAGCGACAAAGCGCGTGAGATATAAATACTTACTAGTTAGAGTGGGACAGCAAGCAATGCACGATATCAGATATTGAGCGACAAAGCGCTGTGAGATAAAATACTTACTAGTTAGAGTGGGACGGCAAGCAATGCACGAATATCAGATATCGAGCGACAAAGCGCGTGAGATATAAACACTTATAGTTAGAGTGGGACAAGCAAGCGCACGATATCAATTGAGCGACAAAGCGCGTGAGATATAAATACTTACTAGTTAGAGTGGGACGGCAAGCAATGCACGATATCAGATATGAGCGACAAAGCGCGTGAGATATAAATACTTACTAGTTAGAGTGGGACGGCAAGCAATGCACGATATCAGATATCGAGCGACAAAGCGCGTGAGATATAAACACTTACTAGTTAGAGTGGGACGGCAACAATGCACGATATCAGATATTGAGCGACAAAGCGCGTGAGATATAAACACTTACTAGTTAGAGTGGGACAGCAAGCAATGCACGATATCAGATATTGAGCGACAAAGCGCGTGAGATATAAACACTTACTAGTTAGAGTGGGACGGCAAGCAATGCACGATATCAGATATTGAGCGACAAAGCGCGTGAGATATAAACACTTACTAGTTAGTACAGTTACGAGATATTGAGCGACAAAGCGCGGAGATAGTTAGAGTGGGACGGCAAGCAATGCACGATATCAGATATCGAGCGACAAAGCGCGTGAGATATAAGCAAGCAATGCACGATATCAGATATCGAGCGACAAAGCGCGTGAGATATAAATACTTACTAGTTAGAGTGGGACGGCAAGCAATGCACGATATCAGATATCGAGCGACAAAGCGCGTGAGATATAAACACTTACTAGTTAGAGTGGGACGGCAAGCAATGCACGATATCAGATATTGAGCGACAAAGCGCGTGAGATATAAAATACTTACTAGTTAGAGTGGGACAGCAAGCAATGCACGATATCAGATATTGAGCGACAAAGCGCGTGAGATATAAATACTTACTAGTTAGAGTGGGACGGCAAGCAATGCACGATATCAGATATCGAGCGACAAAGCGCGTGAGATATAAATACTTACTAGTTAGAGTGGGACAGCAAGCAATGCACGATATCAGATACTTGAGCGACAAAGCGCGTGAGATATAAATACTTACTAGTTAGAGTGGGACGGCAAGCAATGCACGATATCAGATATCGAGCGACAAAGCGCGTGAGATATAAATACTTACTAGTTAGAGTGGGACAGCAAGCAATGCACGATATCTGAGCGACAAAGCGCGTGAGATATAAATACTTACTAGTTAGAGTGGGACGGCAAGCAATGCACGATATCAGATATTGAGCGACAAAGCGCGTGAGATATAAATACTTACTAGTTAGAGTGGGACGGCAAGCAATGCACGATATCAGATATCAAGCGACAAAGCGCGTGATATAAACACTTACTAGTTAGAGTGGGACGGCAAACAATGCACGATATCAGATATTGAGCGACAAAGCGCGTGAGATATAAACACTTACTAGTTAGAGTGGGACAGCAAGCAATGCACGATATCAGATATTGAGCGACAAAGCGCGTGAGATATAAACACTTACTAGTTAGAGTGGGACGGCAAGCAATGCACGATATCAGATATTGAGCGACAAAGCGCGTGAGATATAAACACTTACTAGTTAGAGTGGGACAGCAAGCAATGCACGATATCAGATATTGAGCGACAAAGCGCGTGAGATATAAATACTTACTAGTTAGAGTGGGACGGCAAGCAATGCACGATATCAGATTTTTGAACAGATATTATGAATAAGTTAAGTAATTTTGAATCTTAACAACATGCAAATAAGATCCGTTTCATTTAAATACTAATCTTGGTATCAGCGATTACTACAACGATATTATTATATTTTTATTGTTTTGTTTAGCCTTGAGCCGTAACGGGCGACAAAGCGCGCAGTTAAGTAATTTTGAATCTTAACAGCATGGAAAAAAACTCTGTTGCATTTAAATACGAATTACGGTATTAACGATGTCTTTGAAATTTTGTTCAGCCTTGAGCTGGATTGCATTGGTACTTAACACGTAATAGTAAGGGATGCCAACTTACTACTTAAGAATTTTCTGCCTAAATTAAGGAAGAAAAATATAAATGGAAATTTTTTAGGAGGTAAATTTTTTGTGAATATTTTTATTAGCTGAATTTTATTCATATTTTTGGAAAAAAATAAAAGTACACACACAAAAAGAAAAAATATAATTTAATAGTGCTGTGCTGCTTTGGTGGAAATCAGACCAAGGCTTATGTGCCTTGTGTGTATATTTTAAATTCTTCCGCCCTAAGCTATAATACTGAATGTATTATTTCTTACACAAATAATAAAAATATTGCCACTCGATTGCGTGTTCTAAAAATATGTTAAAGTCAATTATTAAGCGGTATATAAGATGTTAAAATAAATCATTTTCATCATAAATCATTTATATTTTTAATATTTTTTTTTTTTTTTTTTTTGTTTTTTTTTTTTTTTGTTTTTTTTTTTTTTTTTTTTTTTTTTTTTTTTTTTTTTTTTTAGAATTCTATTAATCAACGTGGATAGGGAACCGTAAAATATCTAGATATTAAAATACATAGTTTCGAAATCTGATATTTGAAATCGATATCGGATTCAGATACGGTACTCAGAAAAAGCGATACGACCCATCCCTACAACAAATGAACGTAACTTTTTGATTTGACCTTTCGAAAAGGCAACGGTTCATATGACATGCAGCCTAGTCTTTAGAAAAACAACAATTTCGACAAAGTGATGAAATCACACGTTACACACATCGAAATTTTTAAAAGTTTATGTCCTAGGCTTAACGCCGCGGCTGGTGAAAAGAGAGCTGGTTCTTTTCTCGCTCAAAGGTTAAGCATAACTATTCAGCGAGGAAATGCAGCTAGCGTTCTTGGCACCATGCCACGTGGATTAGGTTTATTAGATAATATGTAATTTTAGATAGATTTAATCTTGTAAATATTAGATAATTAAAGTATATTATATGTTTAAAGACAAAAAGATATTGATATATCGGGTATATTTTCGGTTTTAAAAAAATAATGTATTTAGTTCAGATTGATTCAATAATAAGTAATAGTAATTTTTGTACCAAATTCACACTATTTTAATGAGAAATTTTAATAAAACGTAAGTTATTTATTAATTTTAATAATTTTTTTATAAATCTAAATTTCTACGTTTATTATTAATCAAGACCTTCATTGGAAAAAAAACAAACAGTTTATTTAATAACATAAATCTGTTTATTTATCCCTGAATGGAATCAAAAAAATAACTATTAAAGAAAAACTGAACTTTGTAAAAAAACATAAAGAATTGTTTAAAATGAAGTTAATGATGGGTCAAAAAGAAACCTCCAGAGACTTGTCCTGACATACGACAGGTCTGGATCAGCAGAATTTAATAATAGTTGTTTGGTTGACATGAAAATGCTGGACGACAGTTTAAAAGAGTTACTTATGGGGTTAACTGATAATAATTTTTATGAAGTCAAATATTTTTTTTTATGAAAACTCGATATTATATTATGTGACATTTAATTATTGAGAATTTGGTGATAATTATAAGTTATGTTCACTTGGTATACATATTAAATTAAAGTTATAGCTTTAGTTGATGCCATTAATATTTTGCATGCTATTTATAAATGAGTTTAACATGTAGTTCAATATTAATGATTTGTAACACCTCTGTACCATGATGTACCTTAGATATGGAGTGTATAAAGTACGAAGCATGAAAATGTAGTATATATACCATTAATATAATACAAAATCCAACACTGCATCCGCGACAATACTAGTCATAGACAACAGTATTTTTTCCGTCCATTTTTATCTTTTATGGCTTTGAATCAGTTTGAATAAAAATATCGTTTTTGATACGATTTCGATATTCAATTTCTCATATTTATATATTGGATTCAAATATATCGGTTTAACAAATCGATATATTTTTAAAAAAATATCAATGTATCGATATTTTTTCGGCATCCCTACTATATACTATTAAAAATTAAAACCATTATAAACAAAATGGCGTCAAGCTTGCTAGCCTATCGCTTGATTCGCTAATATAATAAATTATTAATGCTTAATGAAAAATATGAATTAAATATACAAAATGGAATTCGATGAGATTGTTGTCAAAGAGAGCCCGGGTTTATGCCGGTGCTGCCTTTCGGAAGGATGTTACAAGGACCTGGCCACTGAATATACATGGATGGATGATACCGAGGTTTACGCTGAAATGTTACTGGAATGCTTTGATATAAGTGTGAGTACACAATTTCCTGCTTACTTTAACGTTTAATAAAGTTTACACATAATTTTATGGGCCTATTCTAATCCAACTGCAGTTATTTAATGACAATTATTCACCAAAATATTTTTTTTATTTCCTAGGACAGTAGTTGTTATTGTTTAATATTCTATTGTGAATAAACATATACATGTTTGGTCAGCTCACTAAAACTCGTGTGCACTATACAGTGCACACGAGTTTTAGTGAGCTCTGCACAGAAATCATATCAAAAAGTCTATTCCGTTAGAGCCATTTTAGAAGGGAATAAATTTCTTAATAAGTTTCATCATCATTGTCATCATCATTACCTTTAGGTAGTCCACTTTTAGCCATAGGCCACTTCCAAGGATTTTCACTTCAATAAATGATTGAAAGGAGAGAATTTTATCATTATTAGTCAGGGTTATCAACTAGGCCTGTGTTATTTTTTAACAGATATCACAGCACAATGAAGGTCCAAATGGGCCCAACAGGCTAATATGCGAGGTGTGCATCACCCGATTGAGAGATGCATGCAATTTTAAGAAGCAGGTTCTGGCATCTGAGAAGAAGTTTGTAGATATGATTGGCCGTGGAGCATTTAAGCCTAAAGGTATTATATTATGCATTTGGTGTAACAGCCCTTTTGTAATAAACTTATGCGTTTGACTTGACAAACTTGTCAAGTTGTTGAAAAGAATAAAATTAACATTTGCAACACCCGTAAGGTTGCAGATGTATTGCCACCTCTTAGTAAAGTGGGCCCGACTACCCTACTCACCAGACGAAATGCCGAAGTACAACACTTCTACTTCACGCTGGTCTTCTGTGATGTTGTGGTACTAACTCGGATGGTGAGTGAGGTAGCCGGAGCCCAATTTCCTAAAAGGTTGTGAACGCATCTGTAAACCCTCGGGTGTTGCAGATGTCTATGGGCGGCGGTATTCACTTGAACCGTCTGCTTGTTTGTCAACTTTTCACATGAAAAAACAACGGATGGACCTGCCCATTCATGCAACAGCGAACACTGTTAATATTCAATGAGAAATTCAAGTTTAAAAATTCAAATTTAATAACTACTCATAATTTATGTTGCTAGTGTCAAATGAAACTGATTTTAAGCTTAATTTGATTTCAAGTTTAAGCAGAATTTTTTATTAATACAAGAATTTAGAAGATTGGGTATTTGTATCCTCACACACCAGACAAAATGTAAAAGTTTAATATTTCCATTTCAGGCCAGTACAACATGTAACCATAACATAATATAGCTCTTCTATATGAAATAATCATAAAACACATACATGCTTAATGAACTTTGTTGGGTTTTAGATACCAATAGTTAATACCATTCACTGATCTAATAAAATTAATGCACATAACTGTGCATATTCTGGTTTTTGTTCGGGCCATTTGATAAATTTATTTCTTCAATTTATATTGGCGTTTTTTCAATTACCTTTATTTATATTTTCGTTTTTTCAATTACCATTCAGGACATGTAAGTCTGTTGTCAAATACCAGATATAAATGTTTAGTCAGTTATTGCACAAAAGCAGTCTGAAAATCGGAAACTACTTGGACACTGCTGAGATTCAAACTCCAGAAGGCAAAATGAAGTTGCCAACTATTGTTTCTCATAAATGTTTTGTTACCAGACTAATTTTTTTTTATAACTATTACAGTTGTGGTTTATCAAACTCCAATTAAAGCAGAAGTTAATGTTGATGCACCTCAGGATGCTGATGAACCAGAAGTGGAGTACCTTGAGGATAACATGAATTTCGAAGATGGTATGTCAACTTATAAATTCCAGTTTCCGCTTATGTTAACTTATTTCAATCATGGATAAAGGTTGTAATGGCATAAACTATTTCTACTTCAAATCATATTGATCCATTCAACTGTATTTTTGCATTGTCATGGTTAAATCAAATCAGCTATTTTTTTTATTTACTCAATGATGCCATTGCTAACCTGTCGGTTTAAGGGTTGTAGGTCTTGGGTTCGATTCAAACATAAGACAGTATTTGTATACCACAGATAAATGTTCTGAGTATGTGCTTTCATTCTTAAGGAGGTTTGACATCAGACAGGTCGCAAAACCTAGGCACTAACAACATGTTTCATATAATGTGCTGAAACAATCTTAGTGGGATAATGTACTCATGGGACAGAAATAGTCCCTAAGGTAGTATGTCTTATCACTATATCAGAGGGAAAAGAAAATATAGATGTCTCAGTGGCGCAGTTGTCAAGTGTGTTCGTCAATTCCAGCATGGGACAACTACTTGTGTGACCCACATGTTATTTTTTGCAGATCTGGGTGTTTGTCCACATGAAATTTATGTTTGTAAAAAATCCTTACAACACTGGATCATGTAATTCTAAAGTAAAAGGGTTTTCCTAGAAAAATATACTATAAAATGTCACACGGAAAAGCAAGATTATCTAACTTTTCTATCCATGCATGGATGTTTATGAAAGTTTCACGTTAGCAAGGCAAGCAAGATAACGTATATGAAAGTTTCTTAAATTAGCATATAACTGATTTCAGCTGAACTAATGAAAGATGATGAGCCAACGGAGCAGTTGGGCGTCGCAGAAGACATAACCGTTGCAACTCTACCCGTCAAAGGCAAAAGGGGTCGACCACGGAAGAACGCCGCCATAGCAAAAAGCGACAAGAAAGCGAAGTTGACTAAAGGCGAGGAAAAACCTAAGGCATCGAAGTCCATCTCAAAAGGTAGGTTTCAAAATTCATTTAAAGTTCTTAGACGGTCTGTGATGGAGATCATTTATCGATCATTTTCGCATTGCACAATTATAAACAGAAATTTGTACAAAAATAACTTGCAACGTTAAAAGTGATGACAAAGAAACTCCTATGTGTAAAAGAAGTAATTTAAATGGTCACATTTTACAACATCACAGAGTACTGTGCAATAAATTACATAAGTTTAACAACCAACCATCAGCCTTAGCCACTGATTTTGATTATTTATTAATTAGTGTGTAAGACCACAGTCATGATTATAGGTAGATTATGATATAGGCTATACTGCCTTCTTTATCATTAGTACATTGAAGACAAGGTTGTGTGGAAATGACTCTTGCTCTACACTTGCAAGTCCCCTGGCTCCTACTAATTTTATACTTAAATACTTTTGTGTATATATTTACATAATTTAAAAAAAAATATAAGTCCATAGAGTTTCTTGCCGGTTCTTCTCTGGTCGAGTATAGTGAACCGGTGGTAGTTTTTGACTTTCAATAAGAGATTCAAATAGACCTATATTGAATAAAAAAAATTTGACTTTTTCTCATCACATGATTTCACTGTATTGAAGTAGGTAGAGATTGTTATGCCATCCTCATGTGACTACACGGGCTCTAATGTGACATATGTGTCAAAACGAACTTGAAGTGTGTGAAACTCACAAACGTTGTTGATTTTATAGGGCGCTGATTATAGGACAACAAATATCTCTAGCTGTCTCCAACACAGACTGTCTATAAAACCTTTTTATGAGATGTTGCTGATAAGTTGTACCTGTCTTTAATTTTTACCTAATATGTTCCGAACCTTTAAACATTATGTGACTGAATTATTTTTATTAAATTTATATTTAGTCATATTTTCTGGTACCACATCTACAATTGATATGAGCAGCTTAAAAAATGAAATAATTTGTTTACATAGTGCAATCCTGCACTCTGAAGATTATTTTTATCATAAAATGAAATGACATGATAGAAGAACACATTCATAAAACAACAACAATATGCGATGATGACTTTGACCCAAAATGTCTCATTGACAGTCCGCTGAATGTTCCAATTTTGTTATTTTACAATATCATGTTATCATGTAAATTCTTCTGAATCGTTTGTATTGGTATGCGCTGTATTGTCTCTTTGCTGTCTATTTGTCTGTTAGTGGTAGATGGGTTATCACCTTAAGCCCCCATGTCTGTCTCATTCATGTATTTTCTATCGTGGTATCTTTTCTTTCTATGATCTGTATCACTACTTTTGTCATAACGGTATTCCTGGTGCGGTTTAATAAATTTTGCAATTTCCAAAATGAATAAACAAGGAAAGAATATCCAATGGCCGCAAAAGTGGTTTGCATTACATGTATGGCGAAAAGCGTTGCAAATAACACAAACAAATTTTTTTTGTACCATAAATACTTTGTTAGCTTCTGAGCTCTTATTGCCCAAAAACCGGAATCTGTTTTTTGAATATTATTTACTTTATATTGATTAAACATAAAAAGAGTCTGTAAATTAACAGTGGTAGGATCACGCAACTGTATTTGCTGTTGCACGAATAGGCAGATCTGTCCGGGTAAGTACCACAACCCCACAGAACACCGGCGTAAAATAGAAGTGTTACACTTCTGCGGTTCGTCTGGTAAGTGAGGTAGCCGGGGCCCACTTTATTTAAAGGCGACGCATTTGCAACCCTGGGTGATGCAGATGTCCATGAGCTTCGGTATTCACTTAACATCAGGTTAACTGCCTGCTCGCTTGGCAACTTTTCACATTAAAAAATAACCTTTCACTTCTAAATCATAATTACAATAATTAGTGAGGATTTAAACACATTTTAATGACTATAAGAAAAGGTACATTAATATAAAATAAATTACTATATATTTGAATTTTACCAAATAGGTAATTGTGAAAAAAAAAAAACATAGTATTCCCAAAATGATAAATGTCGTCGATACAGACGGATACCGCATAATAACCAAATATTAGCTGCAAGTTTTTTTTTTTTTTTTTTCAATTTAATGAAATCTATTGTTAGTTGTTGTTGCCATCGATTCGCGTCCTGCGTTTGGTTGATGTTGTCGTAACCTGACGTAATTGCCACGCTACATATTTAGGACTTCAAGATTTTAGTGAAAATT